GTTGACAAAAACCCAAAATATGTAAGATATGTAAAATTATGTGGCACTGTGACACTGTCCTTCCCTTGTTCATAGGTTGGCTCGAGCGGGCACCAGTAATGTCTTCATTGTGAGACTTGTTACTATTTTTGGCATATCGAATACGTCACAGTAGCCTTCCAGGCTCTGCCATGTAGGCGGATACTCTAGGTAGCTTGCTGGGCTCTCTGAGAGGGGCAGAGGAATCGAATCCGGGTCGGCCACATGCAAGGTAAATGCACTACTTGCTGTGCTCTCACTCCACTCCATGTAAAATTATAAGATACAAAATATATAAGATATAAAATGTATAAGGTATCATTTCTCTTTGTCCACATAATATCACACTTGTTTAGAAGTCTCTGATGGTGGCACCTCCACTTGTAATCTTAAAACTTCACATGGTCTTCAGCTGATTTGCTCCAATTTTTTGACTACTACACTCTACAGAATCAATCTCTCTAAGGTTATTTTAGATCATTTTAAATAGAGCCATAGAGGCAGGCAGGGAGGTTGGGGAGCTGAAGAGAAGAAAACTGAGGTCATTGGTGGTGGGAAATGGACACAGTGGAGGGATATATGACTGAAACTCCATCATGAAGAGATTTGTAACTGTGTATCTCACAGCGACTCAATTTAAAAAATAAGATACATTTTGATCAAACAGAACCCCATCACTTGTTCTAATATACAGAAAACAGACTTCAAATAAGGCTCTACACATTCCCTTCTGTCTCCTTAACTAGGTAAAGATCAAAGAATAAAAAAACAGGATTGAAAAATACCTGCAAAGGTAATTCAGTTCAATCACCTCTCTGACGTTACAATTACTGAGACAAAATGTGATCGCTGTGAGGGACTCAGTCCACAGCAATTTGTGTTTCTTGCCTCTTGGATACTTTATTAATAGAGTTCTATTTTGTCAGAAGGTATCAAACTAATGTGTAATATGAAATTTTACATTACGAAAGAAATAACCTTTTCTTTTCATAAAGTCTGTCCAATATTACATAAAAGTGTGATCCATGGTGGTAGTACCATCCTATGGAACATCCAAGTGTGAGCCACCACAGTAAGTAGCAGCCTCAACAGTAATGGATGAACAAAGGAACAGGGTGTTCCCTGTCATCAGGGTCCTGCCCCTGCCCAGTGACCTTGGGCTTACCATACAAGGTGGATGAAAAAGCAAATCAGGCTCCACCTCTTTGGGAAGTGTATCGTGAAGGAACATGGGAGGAAATTGTTATTGGAAAAGGGTGACTTCCAAAGCAACTGGGCTGCCCCAGCTGGCCAACCACACCTCAGTGCTATATCTTGGTGGTTCTTCCTCACATCTTAGCAAAAGTCACCCAGGAATGGAGATATAACTAGTGACCCATGTCAGGGTATAACTTTGTACTGGGTATGGACCAAAATAAGGCCCCACCTCTGTATACTGTGACCGGCCAGGAGGAGGAATCTTACTACTTTCTGTGCTGAATGGAGACACCTGCATGGCAGAGACAAGCAGCTTCTTCCCTGTTACCTCTCTGGTGTTTGGGCAGAGATAGAAACGTTATCTTTGAACTACAACTCACTTTTGTCCATTTCCTTCTTAATTTTCACTGGAGAGGGTAACCAACCAGCCTAATTTATGTCAGTGAAATCTCTCATAAACACCCTATTTCCTGTGAGTATAAATCTACAAATCTTCATGTAAGAATTTTTAATTGGGGGAAAGGAGGGCCAGAGAGTACAGAAATAAGGCACATGTCTGCTTGCAGCCACTCAGCCAGGACCTTGGTTCAGTCTGAAGCACTGTATGGTCCCCTAAGCACCACAAAAAGGGATACTTTGAGGCACAGAGCAATCAATTGCCCCTCAGTACTATATGACTGGGTGCAGCCCAAAATTCCACCCCAAAAAAGTAGGGTACTGGCATAGAGCACAGGGGTTAGAGGTTCATGCTTTGCATGAAAGATCCTGGTTCATTCTTTGCTACCATAGATTGCCAATCTTTGGCTCCTTAAGCACTTCCAGGTGTGGCCCTTGTGGCCCAGGCACTATGAGGTGGTCCTGATGATCTCTATTATGATGGGGCCTGAGCAGCAATGCATCCTTGGACCCCAGCATTAAACTTCTCAGTCTCAACGAGACTGAGGGACAGAAGTGTCCCTCAAGGCCCCTGAACACTGTTTGGGAACAGCTTTCCCACAAAATTTAAAAATTAAACTGTGTATATGACAATCAAATGTGCATATGTATATTTAAAGAATTTGTTTATAAAAAACAGAAGACTTTCATCAAGTTTGGAAAGTTCTTGTGGATACATCTGCCTGCATAATACATGGACTGTGAACTGCACATCAAAGCAACACTGGATAGTTATGATAACAGCATCTCAATAGATATCCAGTCCTATCTTAGAGAGCAAATAAATGCAGAGAATAGAGGCTATGTCATGGTTGACTGAGAATAATAGGCCTCTGTACAAAGAAAATCATATTACAGAGATTTCAACTATGGATTAAGACTAAAATTCACCACAGGAAACACTCCCAAGTGCAGGTACTGTTTTGTAATAAAATTCTTTTGAAATTGCTTTGTATGTGGGCTACTTTCTGTATAACATACTGCAGGTCAAGCAGCACACAGGATTTGTTTTTTTAAGCATGTTTAATGGTTTTCCCTGGGGATCAACTAGTAAGATAAGATATGTGGAATGTTTCATCAGCTTCAGAGCACTATAAAATGCGATGTTGCATCATGATATACTGGACTCTCACTGAGTGCTCAGCAAGGCTTACACATGCTAGCTGCCAAATGTGCAAGGCATTTTTAATACCTCATATAAATGAGCAGAAATATTCTATCAGAATTTTAAAACTTGACCATAATAAAATATTTTTCATTGCTGTACGTATATAAAAACATACATAATATAGCAAAATTGTATGAAACGATGCTTCACATATACAGTGAGAACATCGTTTTTTTTCTTTTTTTATTAGTGAAACACCATGAGGTACAGTTATAGGCTTGCAAATTTTGTGCTTGGGTTTCAGTTATACAATGATCAAGTGCCCATCTTAAGATGGGAAAGTGTCGGAAGAGAACGGGCATAAAAAGCAGCCAGAGCTCTGGCTCCTGATCAAGTTTCTTAACAGCCATGATCCCAAAGACTCAGCAACAAATCTTGGAATCCAGCGGGTTTCGGCAGAAATGTGACTGGGACTCCAAATCAGGTTTTTAGTCCTGGGTCACCCCAGGTGGGAATAGGTGCCAATCCACCGCCTTTTCTCCCTGGCAGCTCAGGGGCCACCATCTTCCAGAGGCCAATGGACAGATAGGTGTGGGCCCACAGTAAGGAGGTGTGCAGGGCCTCATGGGATGGGGGTGGAGTCGGCCCTCCCCCCCCCCACCAGCCCCCAAGTCACCACCCATGGACGGCCTCTCTAGCTCCTGATAGAGTTGCTAAATGGCCATGATCCCAGAGACTCAGATAAAAAGTCTCAGAATCCAACAGCTTTTGGCAGAAATCCCTCCAGATTTAATTATTAACATTCCAGAATTCCATGACCACATGGCCACAGTAGCAGCCCGCACCACATCATATGCTAGTCATAATCAGCAATAGAAAAAAAATGCCTAATGTCGCCTTTTCGGCAGATCTAAGTGTTGGGGAAAAATATCAAATAACAATGGTGGCGCTGGTATCGAAATATAGAATGTAATCAAAGTAGAGAGAGAGTAATGTGGACATCATCTGCCATACAGGTAGTGGGTGGGTATGGATGAGGGTTATACTAAGGTTGTTGGTGGTGGGAAATGGGCACTGGTGAAGGGACGGGTGTTTCATTATTGTATGACCAAGTCTTAAACCTGAAAGCTTTGTAACTGCTCTCATGGTGATTCAATAAATTTAAAAACAATCCAGAAGAATTTTGCTAGTAATAAAAAGAACTATCTTTCTGAAAGCATGCTAAAGATGATACCATCCAGATGTTAGGGAAAGAAATGGATGCACTCAATCTTGCTTGCTTCCTCTTTTCTGTTACCAGTTGATTTTTAAACCACTGACAATTTTTTTAAAAATCGGTTTAAAAAATAGCTAATGAAGGTTTTCCACCACGAATGTCCCTAGTATCTCACCCTGGAGGGATGAGTGTTCGATCATTGTATGATTCAAACTCAAACTCAAACATGAAAGCTTTGTAACTGTATCTCATGGTGATTCAATTTAAAAAAATTTAAAAATAGCTAATGACTCTTCCAAGAAATTAGACACACCTTCCTTCTACATTTAGACACAATCAAACATAAATTAACACTAGGTGGCCTTGTGCCCCTGAAAAAAAAAATCTGAGCCATTTATCTTATCCTGTCAACTGCTCTGACAATTACACAACATAAACAGGTGGGCTCATATTTCCAGGCCCAAAGCTTCATTTGTAAAGCAGAGGAGGTGTAGGAGAAGGGGTAAGAAGAGGAGAAGGAGGAGGAGGAGGTGGAGGAGGAGGAGGAGGAGGAAGAAAAGAAGCAACTTAACAAGTATAGTTTTCAAAGCTGTGCTTGGTAAACCTAAGCAATATAGTTAAGTTACCACTAATTGTCTGCCCAGAGGCCTGATAACTGGCTCAAATACTAGATGTGAGTATGGGTAGGGATAAAACTAAAATCGCTTATCAGATTATACTTGGGTTTAGAAGTTTTACATTCATACTTTGTTTTATTTTATTTTTCAGCTAAAGCAACAAGTTCACCTTCTGCCAAGGAACAGTGAGCCTGTTGCTTTACTGGTCATTGTCACGTGACTCCAAGGAGCCGGTTGTGTGGAAAAGAATGTTTCTGAGAAACAGAACCATGTTCAAAACCTTTGGTCCAGTGCACACGCAGCCATGACCAAGGCCAAGTGCCAGTCTCCCACAGCTGTGAGCCACTTGGGGCTCTCTAGCTCCCTCTGTCCTACCTGCCAAGCTAATTCAAAAGTATCTATGCCAAACCTTCTACGAAGTCCGAGGCCGTGTAAGTTCGCTGCTTCTGGCTGCTCTCCGCAGGGCTGTTGAGGCTCTCCAGGGCCGACTCAATTGCTTCTACCAACTCTTCCCGCTTGTCCTTCCGCACAGGTTTCTCCTCTGGATGGCGGGTCAGACCGGTCTCTAGCTGGTAAACCTTTTGCAGGGTGAAACTGTCAAAAGGCACTGCTGCGTACTCAGTGGCCAGTTTGACGCCAGTGTGCACCTCAGCTCGGTCCACCTGAGAGTGCAGGAAGGCCAGCAGGTCCGCCTGGCTTTTCTCAGCAGGCCCTGGGTCAAGGCCCCCAGGCTCCCTGGAGAGGTGCGGTGTGTTCTTAAACTGCGCGCTCCTCTCCTGCAATTCTTCTTTGAGCTGAGAGATCTGCTTCTTGAGGCTGCTGATGTAGTTGCGCTGTTGCTCCTCCCACTCCTGTAGAACAGCCTGGTACCCCTCCTTCCCTGTGGGCCCACTGGCCCGGGGTAGCCCCTGCTGCTCCTCATCACCTTTCGGCGTGCACGCCAACATGTAGAGTACAGAGATGGCACAGCAGAGGAGCACCAGCAACACCCCTACCCGCGAGACCCACGAAAGCAGCCCCCGGCGGACCATCATCACTCAGTAATCAGACATGTGTCCAGAATTGGTGACATCTCAGAAGGTCTGGGGCCCTCACGAGGGCGTCCCTGGACTAGACCACAGGAAACAGGTGTTGGCAGATCCCAAAGCTCCTTGCATCCATTTTTTGCCCCCTGCAAGTTGTATGCCTTGAAATCAAGCACTACGGTGAGAGGTTCTCTGTTTCTAAGGAATAATAGATGAAACCTCCAAGTTTTCCGTTCCTTCCCATCACAGCCTTCCAGATGTGGAGCAGAGAGCAAGAGTAGACCTGGAAGAGACCAAATGACAATAACACTTATTCCAGGTAAGGCAGGAGATGTGATCCGGTGGTAGAGCACATGCCTTACATATTTGGGGCCCTGAGCTTGATCCCCATTATTGCATGGACCAACTCTATCCTCTGCACTGTCAGGAGAGGACCCAACTCTGGGAACAAACTGCTTCCGGAAGTGGCCCTCACAATGACAATAACATAAAAGATAATAATACTGTTATGTGTGAATAAGCAAAAGACCTCCCTGTGAGGCTTATGGAAAAAAGCTTATGATAGATGATAAAATATTGTTAGATGTTTATAAATCAGAATGTAAACATACACTTGCATTATAACTCATAGAAAGAACAAAGAATATAGAATGGATACAGGAAGGAAATACAATAAAATGTTAACAATAATTGCTTCTAATAAAAGAATTATTGATTATTTTCCTGTATCTTATAAATTCTCCACAATGGCATATATTATTTTGATGGATAAAAGGGGCGAAATGAAACTTTTGAGACTGAAACTGCACCTGGGGCCTTATCAACACTGGTGGCTGCAAGCAATGAGGTCTATATGCACTTACCTATGTGCATTCATTCAGGGAAGGCAAAAAAACAGACTAAAATGTTTTTCAAGATTTCTCTAAGGATGTCGGGAAGCACCTAGAGGTTCATTCAGATTTACACCTGAATAAGTGCAAATGGTAACTAATTCAAGAGAGTTATTACAGAAAAATTTCCAATTCTACTCACACGCAAGGACTGATGAGTCACCATAGAAAGGAATGGGCATGGGAGAAGAACAGACATGAGAACACTCTCTTTCCTGAAACACAATTCTCAGGAATATCTCTGTTCTGGTTACTGAAGAACTCTAGGTAGTGGCTGTTTATCTGGAATTCCCAGAAAAATTACAGGGTCTTTCATTCAAAGATCTGCTCTGCACCTCAACCCCAAGCCCCTTAACAAATGAAAGCTGAACTCTAGTTCTTGAAACTTTCTCCCCCATCCCCTTATCTCCAGATCAGACTCCTTCTGTGTTATCCCTTCCTTAACATCCTGTCTTCATCTTGCCCTACCCATCTTAGCCAAAAAAAATTAAATGAGCACCAGCCTCCTCTCATCATAGCCAGTCTCTAGATGGAGAGCAGGAATCTGGGCACTCCCTCCTTGCTGATCTCAGCCCCTAAACCCGGGAGTCGCCAGGTCTAACATCAGCTCTAATTCTCCGAACCCAAAACCAATACTATCAGTGAACACACTTCAGATTGAAGACACTGGATGAATCAAACATACTACACTAACCTTATACAGTCATATGTCCCAGTGAACTAAACAAAGTGATGAGTTTAAAACCCTCTTGTCAGAGTCTAATAGAACTACATGGTAAAGGAAATAATCTGAACAGCAGAGGTACAATAACCCTCTGATATTAAAAAATATGAACATATTAATTCTTAAATAACTGGAAATCTAAACCTCCAAGATTAATCCAATGGAGAACGTTAATCCAAATAACAATGGAGAACATTAGGGAGCAACTGTGTCAAACAGAAACCCAGGAAAAGTTTTAGGCTCATTAAAAGTCTCAAACCTGGTTGATGAAGACCTGATATCAATAATCACTAATGTTGGCAATCAAAATTTAGTAAGCACTTGACAAGAAACTAAGGAATAACTTAATGAGAAATTGAGAAATCTGACCAACATGTTGGCAATCAAAATTAAGTACTGGACAGTGAAACTAAGCAATAACTTAATGAAAATTGAGAAATTTGACAATACAAATAATAACCAATTAAAAGAATGGCAGATTCCATACAAAAGGAACTGAAGGAGCTAAAGAACACAAAAGCAAACCATAGTAGCGAATTGCACAGGTTAAGAAAACCATACAGATGAACTTGCAGACAAAATACAAACCAGCAAAGATAACAGATAACAAATAACAGGAAAAGGAATAACAAATAACAAATAACAGGATAACAAATAACAAATAACAGGATAACAGACAACAAATAACAAATAATAGGAAAAGGAATAATCTCCAAATGGTAGGAATACTAGAAGGAGATGAAAATGGGAAAAGGAAGAACAAGCATTGGAAGAGATCTTCCCCACTCTCTGAGGGAGGCTAATGTACAGATTTAAGAGGCCCAAAGAGTACCAGGCAAAATAAACTCAAGCAGAACAACCTCTAGACATATAATAATCAAAATGACAAAATCCAAAGAGAGAGACAGATTTCTTAAAGTTTCTAGAGAGAAGTGAAACATTAAATATAAAGGAAACAACATAGAAATCACAACAGATCTCTCATAAGAAATGGTATAAGAGCAGAAAGAGTGGAATAACATATTCGATCATTCACTGAAAAAAATTCCTAGCCTAGAGTTCACTACCCTTCAAAGCTCTCATTTAGATAGGAAGGATAATAACATTCTCAGACAAACAAGAACTAACTGCAAAGAAGGAAGGACATAATAAAAACCATAACAGAAATCAATTATATAGAAACCAAATAGAAGTCTAAAAAAGATCAATGAAACCAGAAAGAATAAATAAATTTCTTCATAAGAATAAATAAGATACACAAACCTTTGGCTAGGCTCATTAAAAAGAAAGTACTCAAATGAATAGGGTCAGAAATGAAGGGGGAGAAATTACAACAGTGATATCAGAAATTCAAGACATTGTGAGAGCTTACTGTGACCAATACTATTAAGTTACATTGGAGAAATGAGCAGTTTCTTAGAAAGATGTAATCTCCTAAAGCTGAGTAAGAGTAAATTGAAAGTCTGAAGAAGCCAATCCCAAGCAAGTAAATTGTAGCAATAATTAAGAGTCTCCACAAAAACAAAAGTCCTGGTCCAGAGTTCTATCAAGTTTTCAGAGAAGACTTACTGTCACTGACTCTTAAGCTCTTCCAAATTATCAAAGAAAAGAAATCCTTCCTAACACCTTCTACAAAGCTTACATTATTCTGATATCCAAAGCAAAAAGACATTTCTAAAAAAGAAAACCTCAAATCATCTCCTCAATGAGCATCTATACCAAAATCCTCAACAAAACCTTAGCAAACCAAATTTAACAACATATCAAAAACTCCTACACCGTGATTAAGTGGTATTTATCCTAGGGATACAAGGATGGTTCCATATATGTAAATCAATTAACATAATACACAATATCACTGTTACTGTCACTGTCCTCCCGTTGTTCATCAATTTGCTTGAGCGGGGCCAGTAATGTCTCCATTTTGACAATTGTTACTGTGTTTGGCATATCGAATAGGTCACGCATAGCTTGCCAGGCTTTGCCGTGCAGGAGAGATACTCTCAGTAGCTTGCCAGGCTCTCCAAGAGAAGCGGAGGAATCAAACTCCGGTCGGCCATGTTGGCTGCTTGCAAGGCAAACACACTACCAGCTGTGCTATCGCTCCAGCCCACACAATATCAGTAAAAGGAAAGATACAATATTAACAATTGATGCAGAGAAAGCTTTTGACAAGATCCAACTCCATTTATGATATAAAAAAAAGCCCTCAACAATATAGGAGTGGAAAAAACCTTCCTCATGATAGTAAATGGTGTCCCCAACGATCCCACAGCAAATACCATTCTTAATGGTGAAAAACGGAAAGCATTCCCACTGAGATCAGGTATAAGGCACGTCCACTGGTATCTCTTATTCAACATTGTATTGGAAGTCCTAGCAACAACAATTAGGAAAGAAAAAGAAATCAAAGAGGTCAAAATTTAAAAAAAAAAGTCAAATTATTTCTATTTGCAGATGGCATATAAATAGCACATTAAAGGAGTCCACTCAAAATCTCCCAGAAATATTAGACCAACACATCAAAATGACTGGCTAAAAAGTCAATACACAGAAATTGTTGCATTCTTATACACAAATAATGAACCAGAGTAGAATAGGATTAAAGAATCTATGCCATTCAAAAAAGTGTCCAAGAACATCAACTACCTAGGTATTAACTTAAAAGAAGAGGTGGCAAGGAGATAAGAACCAGGAGGATTCTTCTATGGCTTAGATGCTGGTCTCACATGCAGGGGGGAAAGGCAGATTGAGATAGATAAGGGACCACCAAGCAAAGGATGCTTGAAGGGCTCGCTCGGGATGGGAGATGTGTGCTGAAAGTAGACTATAGACCGAACATGATGGCCACTTATTACCTGTAGTGTAAACCATAACACACAAAAGGAGAGAGAGAGAGAGAGAGAGAGAGAGAGAGAGAGAGAGTGTAAAATGGAATGTGCCTGCCACAGAGGCAGGGAGGATGGGGAGGGGGTGGCAGAAGGGATACTGGGAACATTGGTGGTGGAGAATGGGCACTGGTGGAGGGATGGATACTCGATCACTGTATGACTAAAAAGTAATCATGAAACTGTATAAGTCTGTAATTGTATCTCACAGTGTTACACTAAAATTTTTTTTAAAAAAGAATAATACGTAGCTAAAAGAAAGAACAAATGATGTAATTTCCACGTGACAAAAATTAGAGGGTATCATGTGGGTGAAGGCAGTCAGAGGAGACAGACACAGAATGATCTCTCATGTGTGTGATATAAAGAAATTTTGTGACAAAGGCAACACATAAACTAAGAATTCATCTTCAACAGGAAATGAACCACTGAGGAGGCACAGTGCAAGATAAACACCATGGGATTTCAGGCCACTGTGATAATGGTGGGGAGAAGTGGACACTGGTAGAGGGTGTGGTGCTGGAATGTTGTTGAACAAAATCCTGCCATTGACAGTATTGCAAATTATGTTTAAAAATTTTTCTACAAAGGTTTTAAATTTAACAGAACAAACTTTCTTCTTAAAAAATAAATAAATAAAAGAAGAGGTGGGAAATCTGTACCATGAAAACTTCAAAACACTTCAGAAAGTAATAGAAGAAAACCTTAGGAAGTGGAAAAATATTCTATGCTCTTCAATTAGAAGCATCAATATTCTCAACATGATCATGTTACCAAATTC